TAATCCCAAAGCAACCTCCAAATGCTTGGCGTGATCCCCAAGAGAAGAGCTGTAAACGAGAATATCGTCAAAAAACACAATGACAAATTTACGCAGGAAAGCCGCAAATAAGCGATTCATGCATGATTGAAATGTCGACGGGGCATTCGTCAAACCAAAAGGCATCACTCGGAACTCATAATGACCTTCATGTGTTCGGAATGCCGTTTTGTATATATCACGATCATGCATGCGAATCTGATGATATCCAGATCGCAAATCCAACTTCGTAAAAAATCTAGCCGAACCAAGTTCATCAAAGAGTTCGTCTGCGGTTGGAATAGGAAAATGATCGGAAACCGTAACCACATTCAAGGCTCTGTAATCGACGCAGAATCTGTAAGTACCATCCTTCTTTTTCACCAAGAGAACCGGAGAGGAGAAAGGACTCCTGCTGGGCTGAATTAAACCTTGGTCGAGCATCTCACGAACCAATCGCTCAATTTCATTTTTCTGAAATTGTGGGTATCGATAGGGCGGAACACCATCTTTGCGGCCAATAACTCTCCACCATTGTCAGATGTTGTATGTTGCTCACGACCTTTCGGCATGTCTAGGATTGTGATGCACGGGTAGAGTTGGGATGGGAGTGATAAAGGGTTTGGGGCAGGGGCGGAGGAGAAGGGGGGCGTGCCTGGGAAAGTGCCCCCCGACAAAATTCCGGCGAAATAAGCTTTCAGGGTTGTCCGGCAGGCTGTAGCAGGTCGAAGAAGGAGCAATTTTCCAGCCGAAGAAGAAGAAAGGGTACGGCGTCGTTTTATAAAATGATTAAAAAAATCTTTTGGGCTTTGACCCAGCCCAACATTCCAGAAACCCATTTGCTAAAAAAAATAATATATGGAGTACTTTAATTGCAGCCATTCAGTGGCTAATTCGGCTGCATAAAAAGCATAAGCATAACCTGCGTTCCAGTGTTCCACACTTCCATCAGTCCAATTGCTAAAAAAATATACGGAGTACTTTAAAAAATATATTTTTGTGTTGATTTTTAAAATATTTTTGATTTAATGAGTAAAAGCTGGATGTGATGAATGAATTATTAGTAAAAAAGTATGATAGATAGGTAGGATAATAATTACTCCGTAGTAGTGATAAATGTGATTTTTTAATAGATAAGAAAAAGAGTTTGTAAGACAAGAAAAAAAGAAAAGAGAAAGAATTTAAGAGATTGAGGGAGTATTTTATTGATGAAATTCTAATATCAAATACGGAGTAGTTCTTTTACATTCTCTGATTTTGTTTTCATTCTTTTGTTGAATTAATCAGATTATTATAGTAGAATACTCTGTAAATGAGATTATTATTCTTAAAAATCATTTTTACAAAACTAGCTTATTTAATACGGAGTATTCAATTACATTGCATCACTTGAATACGTGTTTTGTCTTGAATTAAATAGATGGGTTTGTTTAAGTGGAAGAAATTGGTAAAAGAAATTAATATTCATGTAAGTAATTAGAATAGTGATTCATTTAAAATTTCAATAATAAAATCCAAAATTAGAAGATTAAAAATTACAAGAATAAAAAATAGAAGTGAATTTTTAGTTTTTGAATAATCTTCTTCATTCTAATTATTCAAATGTTTGTTTGAGATACACGTACACCTTCCGTCTCATAATTGAGTACATTTTTTGTAACTCAATATTTCGATAATTTGTATTTATTTATGTGTTTTCATTGATTGTTTGATAAAAGATATAAATTTTTAGTACTCCCTCCGTCCTAAAACTTTCTTCTCAGTTTCACTTTTCTCCATTTTTAATTTTTGGCTTTGACTTCAAATTTTACCCTCTTTAAAAAAGATTTTTTGAATTTTTTTTTGCAATCATTCAAAATATAGAGTTAGAAGATAATTGGTGTTAATACATGAAGGTATTAATGTCATTTGTCATCTTTTTTTTCTAATGGGAAGGTAGTTTTAGGACGGAGAAAGAGGAAGTGAGAAGAAAGTTTTAGGACGGAGGGAGTATTTTTTTACCTTGTAACCATCAATTTGTAATCTAAATTTGAACAAAGGAATCATTAGTTTTCTTTGGTAATTACCTTAGCCCCATACACTATTTTGTGCCCTCCCAGAATCTGGGTGCGGGCTCTGCCACTGGTTTGGGGAAGGGGTTAGGTGGGAGGGAGGAGTAGAAACTCATCATTTTTTCATTTGAAGCATCAGAGGAATTTCAAATGAACGAGTGTTATCCGTTGATATTAGATGTCAGTGTCAACAGAACCTTGTGGTTATTATTATTATTAACATTATTATTCCTATTATAATTTATCAATGAAATTAAAAAAATAAAAATAAAACTAATAACACAATTTATATAAAATGTTATAGAGCAAAAAGAAAACAATTTTACCTATGCCATCAAGAAAAATTATACTTCCTCTGCCCACAAAGTCCTTATTTTGATTTTTATTAGATTTAAAAAAGATATTTTTGTGTTGAGTTTAAATAAATTATACTTGATGTGATATGTAAAAGTAAGTTGATATAAGTAGATTATTATTGAAAAATTATGATATGATAGGTATGGTAAAAATTAGTAAAAATAAAAGTGAATTTTTAATTGAAAAGAGAGGATTGTGGGATCGGACAAAAAAATATTTTATGGCCACATTAGAATATTTTATGGAATATGTGAGATGAGAAAGTTAAAAATTTTTACAGGATGGAGGATGTATAACCTAGTTAAGTGTGAATGCATGAATAAATGGCGTACTCCTTCCGTCCCAAAAAGATGTTCCTGTTTCGTTTTTTGTACATGTCATAAAACATTTCCAATCTGCCTCAAATACCAAAAAAAAGCTTTCAAAACAACTTCTACTCACATTAAAGAAGAAATGTGGGTATAAATATTCTATAGGATGCGCAAAAAATGAAACAGGAATATCTTTTTGGGACGGATGGAGTATAACTTAATTTGACAATGTGGTTATGATATATATACCCTCCGTCCGAAAAAAAAGTTACGTTTCATTTTTTGCGCAACCCGTAAAACACTTCTATATCGTCTCAAACGCCAAAAAAACTTTCAGAACGACTTCTACCCACAATAAAGGGTAAATGTGGTAATTTTTAGGCATTTTAAATGTGATAGAAGTATTTTTTGGAATGCACAAAAAATAAAGCGTAACCTTTTTTTGGGACAGAAGGAGTAACTAATTACATCGGTTACTTTTCTATTAAAATAATTCTTTCTATGAAAATAATTCTATTAGTTATAGACTACATTGGAAAGTCACTATGTTTTAATACTCCCTCCATCCCCCAGTTTTTGTCCATTTTTGACTTTAGGAACTGTTCATCTAATCACTTTGACTCATCAAATTCTCTCAATGTATAAACCTAAATATAGTCATGTGTGATCTTGTTTGATTTGTCTTAACATATAGATTATTAATATATAATTTCTATAATTTTTTAATATACAAATTACAAGATAAAATGAATTAAAGAAGTGCATTGGATGGTGTTTAAAAATAAAAATGGACAAATACTCTGGGACGGAGGGAGTACTATTTAGGTAAATTCTCCGTTCTTATTCTCAAAAGTATATTTTTAGTAAAAAATCAAATGATATGGGAAAACCAAGTACTCCCTAAAAAGTATTTGATTTTACGGTTCTTGATATTTTATTGAAATTTTATTCAATTCAATTTATATCAAAACTGACGTAGAAATTAAAAATAAAATTTATATATTTAAAAACTATATTAAAAAATTTATAAAAGAAAATGTGACATGATTATATCATTTTTTAGAATGATCAATAAGTAAGGGAAAAAATATAGCTTGGACAAAATCGCTAATTGAGTCTACTCATAACGTGAAATAAATACAACGCAAGACTGGAGTCTATGAAAATCTATTTAGAGTGAAGCCCACGTGAAATGTGATATCCGAAGATGTCAAATTCAAAACATGTTTAAACTTCGGCAAATACCATAAAAAAGGTTAACATAATCCTAAAAAAACAAGATTAGCATTAATCTCCAAAGTAATTACTACTCCATGTTTAACAATTATTTCTATTGCACTAGGACATGAATGGATGCCTTCCAAGCAAGCTTATGATGTTGGGGCAAAAAATAATTAAAAGACACTTGTCCTCATCTTCACTAACATAACCCCAAAATTTTCCAACGACGTTGCTGTTACGTTACCAACGTTGTTGTTGCTGTCCTCTACACTTCTATTCTACCCTTAATTGGAAACTTTGATTGTATTTTTTAAGAACGCTTTAAATTAATTTTTTGCTACACCAATAACATACTCACTAAACTCCCATAAAAAACTCATATTTTTATTCTCAAAATAGGAGTTGAGATGCATTTACAATGCAATCATACCCATGCTCATGTACAACGTTAAAAAGTATTGTAAAATATTCTATCACAGTGTAAACTCTTATTTTGACAATAAAAACATAGAACTCTTATTTTAGTACTTTTGCTATGTTTTATTCTTAATTATGGTGATTTTTTTAAATTTTAAATTTAAAAACCCATAGACTTCGTTTGGGAGAATATTATAAGTAGAACCATTTTCTGGGTATGGAGTAAATCTATTTTACTCCATGACATAAGAGAATATCGCGTAGTATTTCGTATTACGGAGTAGTTTATTCTTCCTTTGTCCAATAAACTCCTTCCTAATTTGACTTTTTTTAATCAAACAATGACACTCTTTGACCACGAATTAATTATAATTCAAATAAATAAATGTTAAAAAAATTGACATTTCAAAACTATATCCTAACATTAACCCATTTACTTTGAACTTACATCACAATTAAATATACTTTTTTTTTCAATTTGTGGTCAAAGGATATCACTATTTGACTCAAAAAATCAAAACAGACAAAAATTTATGAGACGGAGGGAGCATTTTTTTTAGTACCTAAAGAGGCCAAAACCGTGATGGAATATATAGTTTCTTGCAAGGCATTGCAACGCCTAAATACCTCCCTTTTCCCGCACTCAATATAGAACATCCATACCCTTATACTTCGTCATCAACTATAAAGACATTTATGAACTATAGTAGAGCTGCAAAAAGTAGCAAAAATATTTGTCAGTTATTTGTGACAAACAAAAGCAAAAAGCAAAGCCATAGCAAGAATTCTTAACTTGTAGGAGCAAAGGTTGATGGAGATTCGTGTTGAAAACGGGGATTCGTCATCCCACGGCATTGTCGTGGACGAAAATGCCCCTCTTCTCGAGCCGCAGGAAGCGGATGAGAAGAGCCTCGTGCAGAGAGCCATCAGCCAGACGTTCCAGAGCGTGGCCCACTTGGCCAACCGTCTACCGACCGGCGCCGTCCTCGCTTTCCAGCTTCTGGGGCCCATATTCTCCAACGCGGGCCACTGCGACGCGGTCGGGCGGTCCCTGACCGCGTCGCTGGTGGCGGCGTGCGGCCTCTCGTGCTTCGTCCTCAGCTTCACCGACAGCTTCAAGGATAGGCACGGGAACGTCTGCTACGGGCTGGCGACGCCGGGCGGACTATGGGTGATCGACGGGTCGTCCGCGCTCCCGCCCGAACTCGCGGAGAAGTATAGGGTGAGGTTCATCGATTTCATGCACGCCGTGATGTCGGTGTTGGTTTTCGCGGCGGTGGCGTTGTTTGACCAAAATGTGGTCAACTGTTTCTACCCGACGCCGTCCGTGGAAGCCAGGGAGGTTCTCACGGCCGTGCCGGTCGGAATCGGGGTGTTTTGCAGCATGCTTTTTGTTGTTTTTCCTACCAAGCGCCATGGCATTGGTTTCCCCCTCACAGCAGAGAGTTGATTATTAAGTCATCATGTATATTTTGCTCCAGATTGTTTTTATTTCTACATTGAACACTAAATAAAGACTAATTTACAGTCTCTGTAAAATGCAAACAAGGCTCATAAAAACGCCCTCCACAAGTCTTCAATTGTAGGGGTTAAAGAGCAATGATTCCAGCATTGTAAATCCCAATTTCTTATTGATAAAGAAATATTTTTCCACACTGTAAATTAAAAAAAAAAAAAACTAATATATGGTCCGTATAAGAATAAGGGTTACTCTTCTCCAGAGGAATCAAGGGCCCCAGAGGACACGGAGAAATTGAGCCATTGTGTCATAATGAAATAAGGTATATAAATTAATTTTTTTAAACAATAATTAACATTATAGTAATAAGAATAATAAAATGTCAAATTCATAGTATATATACATACAAAAAAAAAATACATCGTCAATTGGTTCTAATCTCACACAAATTAATTAAGCATAAAATGTGTAAGCCGATCCATGCTATATATCATGAAGATCAACCTAAAAAATCATCTGAGTTATCTACCTTAAATCATCGCCACAATATGATCGATGCATACTTAGCAACAAATAGATGAGTAGATGACAGAATATTTAGGGGAAAAGTGGGAATAAAAGAAACAAATAGGAAAGAGGGGAAGAAATTGTTACCAAAGGAGAGGATCAAACTTCGGCTGATTAGGATTGTGGTGGCCGAGGACGACGACGACGAAGAAGAAGGCAGAGGGAGTGGGTCTGGGCGAGAGTAGAGAGATCCAGATCCCAGGGGGGGTTAAGGGTTTCTATGGAGTATCTGTTAACGGTGGGGTTCTAATGACTTGTGAGGTACTCCTCTAATTTTGGGGCATTTCCAATTTTGGGGCATTTCCAATGTTCTGTTTGTAAAATTGACGGTTTTTATGTACTTCCAATGCACTTCCAATGTAAGAGTCGAGAAAGGTATGTGTTAGCTTGATAGTAAAAGTGAATGTGGTTCTCCCCTTCCCGGAGAGGGGCATTCATACTAAATACAATTGGGCCTCCCGGCCGTTAGTTTATGGCCTAACAAATCGGGCCCATCGAGATCCAGCCGTTTAATTGAGGGTGCCAATAATATGATTACAAGCTATGGTGGCTACAAATGATAGGTGACAATAAGGCGGCTACAACTAATCTAACAAACAGACAAGTATATCAGGCCTAGTGGGCCCTGATGCGTAGCTGGCAGCCGAGCATGCTTGCTTAGCTGTTGAAGGTCGCCCATGCAGGTGGGTCGGCCCCGAGTCCGAGTAGGTTTTTCTAGGCAGAGGAGAGATATGTATCCAGATGCGGTTGTCACCTTCAGACGTTGGTTTCTTCTTAAGTTCCGCTTAGCCGAGCGGGGATCCTTAGTCGAGTGTAGGGCTGTCAACGGATAGCAGAAAATTCGATTACCGTCCGCATCTGAATCCGTTTAAAGAGGAAATATCTGCATCCATTTTAAACGGTCCGATTAAGGATATCCAATTACTAAACGGATACGGATTTGGTAATTGTATATCCGATCTTTTAAAAATCTGATCCGAATATGTATCCGTTTAAATAATCGTTTATCCAAATATCCGATCTGTTATATATAGTTTTTCCTAATTTTTTATGTTTATATTTTGTTTCTCTATTGATATTTCAAAATATAAATTTTTTTTATATACAAAATAAATATGTAGACACATAAAATATGTACAGACATATAAAAATATGTGTATATGTGTATTGTGTATATCTTTTTATCATATGAAGTTATCGTAGAATATCATAAATCATGAAAACAAAGAAAGTAGTTATCCAATACCAAATTATAGTTGATTTAATAATAGTTTGACTTTAATTTAATTTAAAATTAAAGTATTGTTTAATTTGATTTTAAAAATTGGAAACGGATACGGTTATATCCGATATCCGACCGGTATCCGACGAATATGGATACGGTTTTGATTTTCAGTATCCGTCAAGATCCGTATCCGAATTCGATATCCGACAAAAATAAACGGATACAGATTTGGTAATGGCACATCCGATCCGATTAATATCCGTTACGTTTACAGCCTTAGTCAAGTGCGTACAAATCGTTTGATCGGTTGGGCCTTGTTGAGCCGCTCACTTTTGTTGGGTAAAATACCATCATTCCGGGGTATCCATCACGAGTCCCCCATTTCCTAAGCCGAGTGCATCTAAGGCGTATGGAAGTACAAAATTTTCTTAAGTAGAAGTTTGGAAAACTTCTTGACCGAATACAAGGCCCCCCCACTTATTGTGTTACGGGACTATTACTATTATTATTTTTATATTATTATTATTATTATTATTATTATTATTATTATTGTAGGTAAGAAGTTATTTATAGTTAGATAATTATTATTAGAGAATATTATTTTTGTTAGGTTATTAATTAGTTTCTTATTTTATTTAGTTTCCTTTTAGAGATTGGATTCCCTTAGGCTTTTAGAGTTTCACTCTATATATTGAGATGTATTGCTTTAGAATTAAATCAATAAAGAACAATCATTTTCCAACCCTAATCTCTTCCTCTTATCTCTCGTTCTTCTCTTCCACCGAACAAAGATTCGCGGTTCTCTCCCTCTTCTCGTCTCTTTTTCTCTTGGAGCTTGAAGAACGCTCGAAGTTCTTCCCTATCCCGATACGATA